AAAAACAAAAAGAAAATGCCTGAAGAAGTTTTGTGAAGATACCAAGACTTGAAGGACAGGCAAGATGGTGGCTGGAGAGAACCTTAAAAAGTGAAACTGACAGGATGAGGCCAGACTATCAAGGCTATTAAAACTACTGGTGAGGAATCTGAACTTTAGAAAGCTAACAAGTAAATTATTGAACCAGGAATGAAAGCAGTATTTGAAGAAATATCTGCTTGTTCGAATTCAGGACATATTACCTATAGTGTCTGCAGACTTTAGTAAGCATCAGTAAAGCCTGTTTAAAATTGAGATTCATGGCCAGGACCAGTGGCTCATACCTGTAATCCCAGCACTTTGGGAGGCCAAGGCAGGTGGATCATCTGAGGTGAGGATCAAGACTAGCCTGACCAATATGGTGAAACACCGTCTCTACCAAAAATTAAAAAAAAATAAAAATAAAAAAAAATTAGCTGGGCATAATGGCAGTGCCTGTAATTCCAGCTACTCGGGAGGCTGAGGCAGAAGAATTGCTTGAACCTCAGAGGTGGAGGTTGCAGTGATTGCACCATTGCACCCCAGCCTGGGAGACAGAGAGAATTCATCTCAAAAAAAAAAAAAAAAATGCAGACTCAAGGGCCATAAACCCAAAGACTGTGATTCTGTAGTTCTAGGGTCTGGTTCAGGAATATGATTTTTTACTGTCTCTCTTGGTTCTTCCATCCTCCATCTATCCACCCCCTGAATCTGTAGTAGGTTGTCTCCAGATCACAGTTTGAGAATTGTTTTTTTAATGGAGAGAGTGAAAACATAAGCAAACTTGGTAATTGTTCCTATAATGGAGGCACCAAGAATACGAAGTTTACATGATTCTGCTGAAAATTCTCTAAACTGATCTGCAATCTGCATTTTGGTTACCCCACACACCACACTAGAACTTCTTTAGCTTTCTGAGATGACATCAATATTCAGCCCCTTGCCCATATACCAGTCCTTTAAATCTCCAAAGATATTTAATATGGTTCTCCTTAGTAAATTCATCTCCAGGATGACTGAAATTGGTTGCTTCAAACTGTTTCTCACAAGGGATGATTTCTGACCACTACACACCTTTGCTTGCTTTCTCCCTATATCCGCCAGTGTATCAAGGTATTCCTTCAATACCCACGCTCATATGTGAATACAACATGCAGGGTTGTCACTAAGCAGATACAGGACTATCTCCTCCCTTGGTCTGCCACTTTGTACTTGTTAATGTAACACAAGATCTCATTAGCTTTTTTCTGGGATCCAGAAAACTAAGCTACTAAAAACTCAGCGAGTAAATGGTAAAACTGGTAGAAAAAGAAAATTAACTGAATGAGTGAGGACTTGTTCCTAGTGAATCTGTGTTTTCTAACCACCATAAGAATTGAAGAAATTCTTTCAAGGATAACTTAAAACACATGCATATATTCTTGTCTTCACGTTAGCATTTTAAATTGGTGTTTATAACATATGCATGTATAATGAAATGAAGATTTGAGTTTTAAAATAAGTTATCTGACCCTTATTGCTTGTCCTTTAAATCATCTAGGTTTATCTTATCCCATCCTAGGGAATCTCTGGGTGGAATAGAAGCTGTCATGACAATAGACGCTGGAGAGAAGATGCAATCTCCTCAATGAGAGACCTTGGCAACAGCCAGGCCAGTAAGGAGTGGCTGCTACTGCTACTGTTTCTTAGACTATTGATTAAGCTACTTGTAACCATGGCAATGATCTTGTCTTCCTGGAAAGGTTAGCAGGGTAGGATGGGCAGTCCGCTATGGTAAAAAAAGAAATGTTGAAATGAAGCAGTACTCTTAACAGTTCTTTTCTCATGTCACTGAACAGAAATTGCCAGTTTCTTACCCTAAACTTTTCATCACTCTAAAGAAAATCCACCCAGATTCTTACACCGCATTCTCAAGGCAACATGGGAAAGCTTCAAGGTACAGGGAAGAAGGGGACTGAGGTGATGGGTGCACAGCTCTTTTCTTCTACGGAATTCGGAATATTGTTTTTATTTGCTCTTCACTACAAAGGGAGCTATCTCTTTGACTCCTACTGATGAGAAATGCAAGTTAATTCTTCTGACAAATATTTGCTATACAACTACTTATTTGCACCTACTCGGAGTTACAACAGCTGAACTGCCTTGTTCTAGGAGGCTACTGTCTAATTGTCTCCAGGCAGGAAGCCCAAGAGAGAAAGTCTTAGAGGAACTCCACTCAAGGGGAATTTCAGTAAATGCAGGGGCAGTTCAAATGCAAGGTGAACCATAATTTACACACATATCCATTAATCATGAACATTTGTGGCAATTGCTAGAGACATAAAAGTAAATAAGATACATTTCCTGAGCACAAAAAAAGACTTTTGCCTAATAAAAAGAGAAAACAAAGGTAAGAAACACGGGCATTTCTAAAAGAATAAAAATTAAAACAAAAATGTAACTTAAAACAACAATTTGGAATGGCCAGAGGATCCTGTTTCACAAAGGTTTTGCATAAATTGATTAGGATATGCTCTTGTCTTGTCCAATCTTTCTTCTTGAAGCCATCTGATTGATTCAACTTCATAGGTCCAACACTATCTTAAAGCCCAAACCTCAAACTGTCTTGTGCTCCATTTTTTCTAATATTCCTGTTATCCCATCACCTCACAGCCGAGATGAGGCTAGGGAGGCTCACTTTGCTCTTGTGGCATCTCCTTCTGATGTCCCTGGCATAATACCCCTTCAATCTGACTTGGTCTCCAGGACTCTGTCCTAACACTAGCCCAGGTGTTCAGTTTGTCCTGGTTTACACCAGGCTGTAGACAGAGAGTATCACGCTGGCTCTAGCCCAAACCCCTACAGCTATCATCAGAATTCTCTAATCATTTCTGCAACCTTCCTCTGTCCTACACATCTTAGCATTTTTGACTGATAAGATAGGGCACAAACCATCATATCAGCTCATTTTCCAAAATTGAATCTGGTCCTGTAGACCTTGGAAAAATAATTATTTCTTTTCATAATAGCCTGTGACTAAATCTGACATGCCGGTGGACAATGGCTCTTAAACCTTCAAAGAAAGCTACAAAACAAGTCGAATAGTAACGAGTCCTATTGATAAATTGTAGCTCTAAGCTGCAAAAGTGCTTATTCCTGACCAAGAGCCCTGCAATTTATTTTACTTCATTAGATGCTGAATCCTTCAAAAAAACTGCTGGAATTCCAAAAGCTTTGAATCTAATTATTATAAGCATGTTTAATCAAACTTTTAAAACTACTTGGAGTCTAATGCTGAAATTTAGATGAGATTATACCTCTCTGACATGCATATGTTAATATAATTCCAAATCTCTGTGAAGACATGAGATAGACCAAACATTTAAGACAAAGCAATAGAGTACTTTCCATTTTACAACATTCTCCGCAGATAATTCTTGTCCTGGCCATTACTGACATTCTATTCATCTTCTCCAGAAAATCCAATGTAAAGAAAACAAAAAAGAGCATCTTAATGATAGAGCTACAAATAAAAACTATAATCTTAGCTTTGGAAAAGGCTTTGCAAGCTCAATTCATTGTGTGATGTCTGGATTACCTCTACTATACTCATGTCAGGGAATCATCCAACCTACACATGAATATTTTCAGCCTCATGGTGTTGTCAATTCCATCTCTGCATATCCCTGAAAAGGCTTCCGCCTTTTCTTATATAAACTTCTTTTATAACAATTTTGAGCTCATATTCACACATAAGTGCACGCTGCCTAAGATGAGGTTCAAGAACTGAACACACAGCCTAATTCAATTTGGAAAGGGCCCCGTGAGCCACTCGGTATGTATTTCACAAGTATCCTCATGCTCTAAAGCCAAGAACAAGTTAACAACAGCTAAATTTCAAATTCATGCTAGAGGCACACAAAGGCAGTGCTTCCCCAACTTTTCAGTCCAGGACATCCCTATGATCACTGTTACAGTATTCCTTTGACGGTCACAGCAGTAGCAGGAAGCAGACTCTCTCTATTCTTTAGTTACTTAGTTCAGTCCTCTTCTTGGCCGCAAGAGCCTGCATAAGCACTCACTGAGCACATGTAAACACATACACACAAGCACACAGACTGGGTGTTCCATAAGCAAAACTCATACGCATGCATACACCCACAGACACACACATGCACACACAGACACACACAGAAAAACTTCCTTTCTTTCTCTGCTGTGGTCACCACCATCTCTACACTTTAACTTCTCAGTTATAACTGGACAAACCTCTCTTGAGGACACCCTAAATGAACATCCCACATCCTGTCAGATCAACAATGTTTTATTGAGACCCAATATTTTAACACCCTGACTGGATGACAGAAAACACCTGAGCGCATCCTTCCTGGTGAAGGCAGATAGCTGGGGAGAGCTGGGGAGAGCTGGAGAAATCAAAGTCCTCCAGCTTGGAGGGCTCCAGAGATCCACATTTCTCACTTGACACAAAATAACTTATTTTGTTCATGTGGTAAAGTAAGCCTCTGGCTGGCAAGACCAGGACACTAGGACAAGTGTCCTTTGGATCTTCCCTAAAGCAAGGTCTGATGAAGAGAAAGCAGAGTGGGATGGTTAAGTTACAGGCAAAACTCAGAATGAAGGCAGTGGGTGAGGCCAAATGGTGCTTTCACTGCAAAATGGAGTCCGAAACTACAGATTTCTAAGAAACGTCTTAATTTTATTTTACTTTTTTTTTTTTTTTGCATTTTATTGTTTCTTTTATTTCACTATGGTGAAAGAAGTGAAATCCTTAAAATAAAAAAGCATCTATGTGTGTAATTCGTTGGAAGGAAAATAGGGCTTTTAAGATCAAGTCTAGCATGCAGGCCAATGAACACCCAAAATGCAAAAGGAAGTGTAGGATATACGGGGAGAGCACTACAGAATAATCTGAGATGCTAAGACCCTGTTGTCCTTTGACCTACGTTTTTGCTTTATTGGTTACTCCTTTCTTTGGCTTCCAGAGAAACCCTCAATGAAAGTGAAAACATAGATTGTCTTTCGAATCTAGTTTGACATTTTTCAACAACCTTCCCACTTTTGCTCGCACAACTCTAGAACAGAAGAATTTTAAAAACTGGCATGCACTGTGAGATCTGGAATTTACAGAACTCCCCCACTAAGAAAATCAACTTTGGAAAACCCAGCTAAGGAGGGGAAAATACTTCCTCTAAAACGGTACATGCCAAAGAACTTTTCATGGGCCTCCTGGAGAGGGTAATAGGTCTTCCATGCATGGGTGTTTGTAGGGTCTAATCAGGATGGGAAACACTGAGTTAAATCGAGTGAAATGGGTTTATTTTCAGCTCCACTTAACTTGCTGTTGTCTATTATAAATTTCCAAGCAGGAGTAGGAACCTCATATGCACAGAAACCTTTGTCTGAGAAAGAAGCACTAACAGAAGAGTTACAGGTCTCAGTTCACAGCGATTTAAGTTAGACAAAGTCTCAGGGTCTTTCAAATATGTTTAGTGTTCTTCTTCTTCTAAAGATAAAGTGGCCCAAATGACAGCTCTTGCTTTGCTGAACAACTTCACCTTTTAATCCTTTCTTTATTTTCTCCCATAATTGAACAAATACCAATTGAGCATCTATGTGCAAATCATCCTGTCTTAATTTAAAACAAAACCAAAATAAAACCAAAGTACCTACTCAAGGCAAATGTTTTTTAAAGAAGAAACAAACCACAGAAAGTATATTGTATTTATTCCCAATATAATAGCTTACATTTAAAGATATAGTACAGACTTAACGAATATGTCTACTCCCACTAATTCCACAGATATATGCTGAACCCATAATATTTACTCATGCAAATAACCAATAAGGGACAAAACAGCCTTAGGCCAAAAGGTGGCCTGGTCCTGTCAACAGGAAGGTTAGCAGTGAGGTTCAGAGGCCAGTCTTTGATTCCAGGCTCAGATGTCTCACACGTAAAATATAGATAATTATATAGTGTTTGCCTTGTAGAAATCATATATGGATTTAATAAGATGATTTCAGTAAAACACATAGCAGACAGTGAGCCCTGAATAAATAGCAAGTATTATTATTATTGGTTATACTTATCAACTCTAGTTTAAACAGGAATTTTATTCCTCCTCCGAAACAGTAGGATGATGACATCTTAAATAATGAGATTTTCTGAAATTAGGGACACTTTCAGAGGTTTCTTATCCTGCTGGAAAGCACAGCCACCTTTCCATGAACAAAAATGGTCTCAGAACTGTTAGTTCCTTGCCCCTGAGAACTGGGTGGTCAGCAAGAAGTGAAGTAATTAGTGTGTGATTCCGCCCACTCACATTCCTTCTAGTTAAAACTTCATAACTACTTTCAATTGTATGAAAGAGTAATAAAGTGAGGCCGGGGAGAGAGAAAGAAAGAGCTAGAGAGAGAGAGAGGAAAAACCAAGTCTGCTTTACACATCTGTGCCAGGACTGGAATTATAACATCTCCCTCGCTACTCCAAGATGGGGCTGTAAACCAGCCATATGGGTATCACCTTGGAGCTTGTTACAAATGCAGATATCGGGCCCCAGCCCAGACATACTGAATAAAATCTGCATTTTAATAACATGCCCAGGTGATTTATATGCACATTAATATTTGAGAAGTGCTACCTTAGAGAACTTCCATTTTCCTCAGGGTTGCCAACCCTACTCACTCTAGAGAGCAGCCCACACATGCTAGAGAACTTCCCTATACCCAGAAGGCTACTTTCAAATAGAAGGAAACATAAAAAGCCTCAGATCTGCTTCCACAGGAAAAATCCACGGAGCA